TGGCCTGGGGCAGGGCAGCCAAGATGAGATAGTCATCCCACCACAGTTTTGCGCCGGATATGAAGCGAGCCACGAGACGCAGGCCCACCACCAGCAGGACGAAGAAGGCCAGGACGCAGTTGAAGATGAGGTGCGCCTCCACCACGGGCAGCATCGGAAAGTAGACGTACTCGAACATGGCGGTCGAGCTGCGGGTCTGGTCTTTCTGATGCTTTTGGACTGGTAGTTGTCATGCGGCCGAGAGGGATAAGGGAACGAGTTGCAGGAGAAGCAAGACTGTGGCTGGCGTGATGCTGAAGGCAGACGACAAGACTAGCGGCCAAAAACTACATATGTATGTAGGACCGGCGGGTGAGTGCTGGCCTGTGCAATGGCGGGTGTAACAGGGGCGGGAGGCAAGGGCAGGACTCGGCAGAGATGAGGTTGCAACATTTCTTCAGGATGTCCATATGCCGCCGTGGCGATGGCGGGACGGGATGGACTGGCTCCTCTGCCGTGGCCGGGTCGAATCAGGGGTCGGGGAGCAGATCAGTGGCACCTCGGGGAGCTAGACAAGAAGGAACCGGGATATAACAAGAAGATTCTGTTCTCAACGGGGATGGGCGAGACAGGAACAGAAAGCAGAAAGGGAGATCATCACATCCGCCAGGAGAATAGCCGGGCTGGGCAGGGGTTTCCGCAGGCCCAGAGTCCGAACATGGTGGCCCCTGAAGCCGGGAGCTGGGCCGAGACGGGGAAGGGGGCGGGACCCTGACGGTCCCAATGTTGGGTAAGTCTGCTCCGAGGGTCTGGGGCAGCCCAGAGATACCGAAAAAGCAGGAATTGTCCGAGTGGCCAAGCGTTTTCAGGAGGGGAGGTCCCGAGAGCCCGTTGACGGCAATGTGGCGTGCAAGTCAGGCCAGCCTGGACGAATGCAGACGTCGCGAGTGTGGCCTATTGATGTATTCCTCTTGCCACCTTACCCAGATAGGTTATTCTTCCCTGGTAATACTGGGCGGCGGGCGGGGTAGTGCTTCAAACTAAATGACGGGATCCTGAGGTTACCTTGACGAGGCACTCTTACGTCCCGAGCACACGGCAAATCCTGAAATGCCATGCCAGCGTGGTATTTGCCGAGTCATCGGGTTCCTTGTGAAAATCAAAATTGTGAAAGTGGTCGGCGAACAAGTGGACAACTGCTTCTGACGGAACCGGTTCCTGGATGACGATCTGCGGGTTCCAGGCTCGGGCGACGGGGCCGTCAACGGTTCGGGGGCCCTGTGTCCATTGTTCATCCTGGTGTGTCCTGGTGTGTCCTGGTGTGTTCCCGGTGGTGTGGTTGTTTTTGGCAGCCGGCCCACTGGAGGAGATGGAGCCTGCATGGGGAGGGCGCACAGACTGGCGTGCCCCAGCCGTTGAAAGGATCGACAAGCGACGACAGGGACCACACGACAAAGTCTGGAAGCGAGTCTGGTTTGCGTGCGGGAACGACAGGGCCATCCCGTGAGTCGAGCCAGGCACAGGCGAGGGAACGCCGGGGATTGGATGGACTCGGGGCTTAACCCACACTGACCCGCACAGTAGGGTCAATAGTGGAGTGTAAAGGTGGGGTTCCAAGCCCTCGGATGCATTTCCTGCTGCCGAGAACAATCGACGCCAATTCACGCCAATTGACACCAGTCCGTTCCCAGGCAATTCTTTGTCCCATGCTGCCATTCTTCATCCTTCTCGGTTCTCTCGGTTCTCGGTCTCTCGCCCGGAAACCCACCGCCCTCCCCTTGTCTCGTCCTCCCACCACCATCCGCCCGCGCCATCCACGCCACCCACACACGCCTAGGCCACGACCCCGCTCGTGCTGGACTCCTGTGCCAGGAACAAGCCAGCAACCCCGCGCTCTTTGTTGCCCTTTCTTGCCCGCAACGGAATTTCCCATCTCAGCTCGAGATTGGCGTCGCTCTTTTGCCTGACCCGGCCATGGTGTCCTCCATGATCATGACCGATAGCACAATGGTATTATTGACAAGAGGTTGAGGCTGAGTGTCATGTCCTCGCTCAACAATTACATGACAACAGCCCCATCCCCGCAAGACATAGCGCGGCGGTGAAGGCGAATTGCCGGTCTTCATCTGCGCGGGATGGAGTGATCGCCATCGACCGGGCCCTGACCGTGGAACACCGAACCGCGGGGTGGGGCGCTGGCACCACAGAAACCGGTGCTTATCCATCTTGGGCCTCCTGCCGGTCCATAAACACCATGAGGATGGGGTGGAAAGGGGCTTCTGGTCCGGTGCCCGCGGCTCCCCCGTGGGCTAGGAGATATTGCGAGAGACAGGGAGGCAAGGGTGGCTTTTTATACCAAGAGAGGGCACCTCGTCCTTTCACAACTCCTCCTCTCTGCCCCATTCTCTCCCGTCGCGTGAAACGGACCCCTGTTTGGATACCACCCTGTCTTCTTGACGATACCTCTTGACCCAGCCCACCAGCAGATCACCTGTGATTCTTGCCAGACCAGTTCTGCGCCGTTGCCTTCCAATCCCCGTCCACCACTGAACTAGCAAGGAACCCTCAACCATGGCTTCTGTTGATCTCGAGCAGCCGTTCGATTACATTGTCGTCGGCGGTGGCACTGCCGGCCTGGTCGTCGCCAACCGTCTCACCGAGGACGCCAATATCCGCGTCCTCGTTGTTGAGGCTGGCGGAGACCGCACCGCCGACCCTCTGGTGCTCACCCCAGGTCTGGTGGCTGGCCTCTATGGCAAGCCCGAGTATGACTGGAACTTCTGCTCCCCTCCCCAGGTTAGTGGTACCCGTCTGGACCAAAGTACATAACAGCTAACATTAGTACAGCTCACCCTGAACAACCGCTGTGTCAACCAATCTCGGGGCAAGATGCTCGGCGGCAGTTCGGCCCTCAACTTCCTGATGATGGTCTTCCCCTCCAAGGGCAACATCGACGCCTGGGCCGCCCTTGGCAACCCCAACTGGAACTATGAACTTCTGGCCCCCTACTTCCGCAAGTTCGCTACTGTCCACAACCCGCCCGCGTCCGCCAAGGACCTGCTGGGCCTGACCTACCTCAACAAGGACTTGGCCGCCGGTGAGGGACCCATCGATGTCGCCTACAGCGAGGGCTATGGTACGCCAAACAAGGCTTGGCTGCAAACCTTTGCCGACCTCGGCCTCGAGATCTCAACGGATCCCCGCGATGGTAGTGCGTTGGGTGCCTTCCAGAACCATGCAAGCATCAACCCTTCCTCGCACACCAGAAGTTACGCCGCCAGCGGCTACTACACCCCCGAGGTCGCCAAGCGTCCCAACCTCTCTGTCCTGACCGAGACTCTCGTGAAGAGGATCATCTTTGACACCTCCAGCGGCGGGGATCCCGTTGCCACTGGCGTCGAGATCATCACCAAGGACGGCGAGACCAAGCAGGTCTCCGCCAGCGCCGAAGTCATCCTCGCCGCTGGCTCCCTGCAGACCCCCCAGATCCTCGAGCTCTCCGGCATAGGCGGCCGGGACCTGCTCGAGCAACACGGCATCCCCGTGGTGGTCGAGAACCCCAACGTCGGCGAGCACGTGCAGGACCACCCCATCGTCTGCCAAAGCTTCGAAGTCGCCGACGGCATCCCCTCGGGCGACGTCCTGCGCGACCCCAACGTCCTGAACGCCCTCGTAGGCATGTATCAAGCTGACAACGCCGGCGCGGGCCCCCTCGGCCAAAGCGTCATCAGCGTCGCCTACGCGCCCATCGTCGACGGCACCGGCATTGCCACCCCTGAAACCGCCGCCGCTCTTCTCGCCGAGCACGAAGCAACCCTCACTACCCCGGAAGGGAAAGTTATTCGCTCCCTAATTGAGTCCCCCAAGGAAGCAACCTTCCAATACCTCCTCTTCCCCTCCCAAGTCCTCATTCCCGACGTCCCCACCAGCATGGCCCACTACATCACCCCCGTCCTCCCCGAAAACTACATCACCGTCATGACCATCATCAACCAACCCCTCTCGCGGGGCACCGTGCACATCACCTCCCCCTCCATTACCACGCCCCCCACTTGGGACCCCAAATACAACTCCAACCCTCTTGACCTCGAACTGCTCGCGCGCGCGGTGCAGTTCGTCGAGCGTCTTGTCGATCCCGCGACGCCCTTCGGCGGGCAGGTGCTCAAGCAGGGCGGAAAAAGACAGCCGGAAATTAGGGCGGATTCGCTGGACGAGGCGAGGGAGATTGTGCGGCAGAGGCAGATTTCGGTTTTCCATGTGGCGGGGAGTTGCGCGATGAGGCCGAGGGAGGATGGGGGCGTGGTGGATGAGGGACTGAGGGTGTATGGCACGAGGGGGCTGAGGGTGGTGGATGCGAGTGTCATTCCGATTGAGCCCGTGGGGAATATTCAGAGTGTTGTGTATGCGGTGGCGGAGAGGGCGGCGGATTTGATTAAGCTGGATCGGTTGTGAGGTTGAGAGGGTGTAAAGGGGGAGGTGATACCATGGGGAGCAAACGATGTTGGGTTTAATGGTAGGTTGGGGAATGCAGAGATCTGTAAAGCGATCATTTATGGAAGCAATACACGCATTGTCTTGGGCAACTTGGATTGAAGCTGGGGCGCCGGAGACATCATTGAGCTACGTATCTGAAAGTACCTTACTTATTGTCTTGGGCAACTTGGATTGAAGCTGGGGCGCCGGAGACATCATTGAGCTACGTATCTGAAAGTACCTTACTTACTGTCTGTTCTAGCCCAGAGCCGTCTGCTTCTGCAACATGCTCATTCACTCCCTGCTACTGTTTTGTTTCCCTCTTCCCCTGTGCAGCATATCCTTTGTGCCTTGACTCGCAACAATTGGACAAATTATCGACAGACTCTTCTCATTGTCTATTTTTAATATAATTACAAAACTTGCCCTATCTTTGCGTGTTCTTTCACATCAGGTTCCGTGGCACCACTGTAGATCCAACACAACAGGTACAATTGTGGACTGTGTAAGCTCAAATTTTGATTGAAAAGGATATCCAAAAGCGGGAATCCTCGGTGGCGCAATTGGCTAGCGCGTCTGACTGTTAATCAGGAGGTTGAAAGTTCAAGCCTTTCCCGAGGAGTTTCTTTTTGTATTAATTTCTAAAAATTTTAAAAGAAGTGCGTTTTTACTTTCTCAATGCTTCAAGCAAAAACATAAGTTATGGCTCTTGATTTTATCGAATTTTTTAATTTTTTTTTAGTGTGAACGGGGGAGCAGGCGGCCACACCGTTCTGCTCCGACTTGGGTGAGGGACCAACCAGACCCTTTTGATGACCTTGGGATTCCAACCTGTTTGACTAATTGTTTTGTCTGCTTCATTCGGCCCTAGTGAGTTCCAGGGGACACCAGTGAATGTTGAGGACAAGAAGTGATCAGAGACAAGTGAAAATACCAATATTCCTGGGCCACCGGTCAATCATGCAACACAGAAACCATGTGTTGATGCAGGAAACCCACTTGTAAAATATGGAGTGTTGGAGTGTGTTTCGGTGGAAATACGTAGCAGGAGTGAAAAGTGCGAGAGTCGCGGATGTGGGAGGTCATGGACACCGATGCTGAGCGGTGTTGAACCTCCCCCTCCAGGTTTATCTGAGAATAGTCCGTTCGGACTTAAACGAGGGTTAGGGTCGGAAACCGCGTTTTAGACGACACGTGACTGCGCCAAGCATCCAGACCCTGTGCGACCCTCCCGCGCGGCATCTGCATCTGCGAACCAAATTCCTGCCGCCGCTCCGACGCCGACGTCCTCCCCTTCACCCCCGGCGCCGTCCACCTCCACCACCCCAACTGCAACAATGTCCAACCTCTACAAATCTCTCGCTTTGTCAATGCGCGCGCTGTCCCTCGCAGCGCGGCCCGCGACCACCACCACCACCCTCCCCGCGCTGCAGACCCGGTGCCTGTCCCAGGCCATTCTCGCAAAGACAGCCGCCCCCACCAGGACAACAACAACTCCGTGCTGCAGCTCGCACGCGGCGCCGGTGGGTGCTGGGAATGATTTGGAGGTGGTCAGTGAATATGAATGGCTGACGCGTTTTGTGACGTGACAGGTCGTCCGGAGAAAGGCGAGCAAGCGGTCCAACGGCTACCTCTACATCATATGCCCGGCGAACCCGAGGCATAAGCAGCGCCAGAGCTAGAGGGCGGTGGTTTTGCGGGGGAGGGGATTGTTTTGATACCATTGCGGCTTGGGGTCTGTACAATATACACGGGGGGGTATAGACTGGTCGACAAATTGTTTGGGATGGAGAACTCAGCTCAAGAACGACGATACTGTTAGACTTTTGTTTCGGACCGTGATGGAGTTTAAAGGACATGTTGCGATTTAACCACGGCATGGCATCCAGAGGGCAAGCATCATGGGCAATAATGTGACAGCCTGTGAAGCCAAAGAGGATAGCTTGTTGTTGGTTACAAACCGTGAATATACCGCTCCATGGCCTCCCACTCAGTCTTGCCTGTTGACAAGAGGTACCGGATATGGCCCTTGGTCGGGTGTCAGTGTCCTTTCACAGCGGATCAACTGGGGATGGATGGGCACGGACAAGATCGGTAACTCCACGGTGTCTCTCGAACTCGTCCCGGGCAAACTTGCGCGTCTCAGCGCGAGTCTTGGGGTCTGCAATCTGCCGTGTGCTGCGAAGGATGTGCCGGTAGAATGAGAGGACCCGGCCCCGTTGGATGAACTGAGTGTTTTGCTGTTAAGACAGCCAGCCTTGACAGCGTCCGGGGGCAGGCTCACTTGATCCAGGCTCAGCAACGGGCCGAGGCGGGACTTGCGGTCCGTCGCGAATGTGCGGAGGGACCGGCAGGTCGAGGTGAGAATGGAGCGCATTAGAGGTTGAAATGGGAATAGCAAAGGGAAAGTCAACGATGCCAATCTGGAGGGCCCATTGAGATTGCCTTTATGAGCGGCGAAGGGCGGAGGGTCGAGTTGATAATGTCCAGTTTCATAAAGCCGAAATTTCGGCTGGCAACATCTGGAGCTGCAGCTGCGAACGTCATACTGTGGTATGATGGGTAATGAAAATAGCCCTGCAGGGTACTGAACCAAGCCAGGGGGTGGGATCCACAGTACTCTACATTAAACAGGCCAAATAGCTACTACAACTATCAATATTTTGTGTGCATCCCGTTGGCTGCAATGACGGCTTTGCAACGCTCTGGCATCGAGGCCAACAGCTGTTGTAGATAGCTGTCAGGCAGTGTGTCCCAAGCCTCCTTAACGTACCCCCGGGGCTTATCGTACGAGGGCTTCTCTTCAAGGCCGTACCGGTCTTCGATCCAATCCTTCATCCAGTTCCAACAAGACTCAATAGGGTTCAGATCCGGGGAAAAGGGTGGCCATTCCATCACAACGATACCTCGGTCCTGAAGGTCTTGTTTTGTGTCTGCCGCTGCATGCCCAGGAGCACCGTCTTGCATCAGGATAAGATCGTGGCCCTGTTGCTTGCAGAGCTGTATCCAACCGTGGATCACAGGTACGGTACGAGCCTGGTAGGTCTCTGCGTTGATCTTGCCCCATTCCTTTTCCCAGAAGATACCGGGACCTTTGCCAATGCCGGAAAAACAGCCCCAGAACATCCATCCACCCTTGCGTTGATGCTTTTCCACGATACAGGTTGGATCCCATTCCTCGCCCATCCTCCGGGTTACGTATTGCTTGCGGTGTGGGCCACCAGTCACCCAGGTCTCGTCGGTCCAGAGGATCGTAGCCCATTGCTCAGGGGTCCAGTCTTGATGCTCCAGTGCCCAGTTCAGCCGGAGGACTCGGTTCTTTTCGGTAATCGGGGGCTTCTTGCGTGCAACGCGACGACGGAAGCCTAGTCGATAGAGGGTGTTCTTGATCGCCCATATACCGAAGATGCCAGCAAACAAGATAGCCGCGAGCTCAATGTATCCCATCCGACGGTTCCTTTTACTTGCGGTAACGAAATCCACAAGCTCTTGTTCCTGGGCTGTTGTCAAGACCCGTGGGCGACCAGGACTTCGACCGGCTGTTGCATCGTTGGCGCGAATCGCGCTTCGGATCTGGGCTTTCGTATAGCCAGTGATCTGACAGATCTGGGCCTGGCTTAGGTGTGCGTCGAAGTGCAAGGTTCGAACGCGTTGCCGTTGCTCGGTCGTCAACTGTTTCGTACCGCTAGATCCTTTTGGCCGTGCCATTGTACTGCATACGGCTATGTGGGCTACGATGCCTGTGACGGCTGCGTGGACGGTTGTGTGGACGGTTGCCACGGTTGCGTCAAGCCTGTTGGAAAAAAGGTATTCAGATTTGGCCACCTGATTGGTCAGAACGCGTCAGGCGTTGTGCCCCACTGGTACTTTACAGGGGGTTTTCTTTTTGCTCGTAACCACAGTACTTGGCTGGTCCCACAACTGAGCAGGGGTGGCAGTCGACATCTCAAAGCGAAGAGAATCGGCTGCCTTTTCAATTCTCTACAGGCATGTTTTACCTACTTTGTAGAATGTTCGGTGAGGATCCATAAATTAGATTGTCTGTCTGTCACATGTTTTTGACTATCGCCCAATGACTTATGCTGGACCAGAAGCTTTAGAAGTCTGCAAGACACGAAATCACCTGAGAATGCACGTGCCATCGCAGGCAATTAACACGAGCTGCTCTTACCAAACGCGTGACGGCCGGCGATGACTCTCACCTCCCCGTGGTGCCGGCTGGGAACCTGTAAATGCCTTCGCCTCCAGGTATTTGCAGAGCTAAGAAGAGTCAACACCGGTTAGCACCGTCCGCTGGCTGGGGCTACGGGTTTGGGAGCAGGGCTCAAGAGCCCTAATCCCCACCCACAAGCAACAAGGGAACAATTTTAAAAACCACCCGACACACGGCTGCGAAATCGAGCCTACAATCGACGGACAACTGGGTCGTGGGATAGGACACCCTTGGGGTGCTCTCGGGCTGCTCTGCCGGAAGGGAACGGGACGCGAAGCGAAGAGAAAGCGGATGATCACAGCGATGGCAAGCGACAGGACCTAGCGTTCCGAACCCACACAGAGGACGACGAAGCACTTTGGTTAGTAGGAGGGACAACACTGTGTTGCTTGGCTGTTCCGGGTACAGAGAGGATACAAGATGGGCGAACTCCTGCGAGACACGGTCGGCCTTGCCAAGGAGACTTTGCAAGGCAGCGCGAAACGGATTCGACAACCCGCGGGGCGCAGCATACAATGGAAGCGACGGAAGACTGGGTGGGCGGACTGCAGCTACGACACTTTCTGTATGGCTCGAGAGGACGGATGCGCGTGTCGGTCTACTGAGAGGATAGGATCCTGAAGATGGCTATCGAGGGTAGAGTCTTTGGGTTGGCTATGGAAGTAGGCTTAAGGTGCAAACTGGTATTGACTTGCGGAACCGGTAGTGCCCCGCGAAGGAAGCGGATATGGATCCAAGGGGACGCAAGGTAGAGGGTCTATGTAGGTAGACACGTTGCCACCTCTACAATGTATTGCCGAGCTTAGCTTGAGAATACAAATCAATACTTGCGCATTGGCAACGGGAAGATTGGAACCGGACAACGAGCAAGGGCCGAGCCAAGCGCAGTGACTCCAGATCACATTAAAGGAACTCACGCAACTAACACCACACAACCTCATCCAGCAGGTCCCGCTTTAGCCGCTGAAGATAGGACGCTGAACACTTGGAGAATGCAGCCTCCAAGTCGATTTGTTCGCGATTGAGAAAAGAGGCATGATGTGGCGTTGTACAAGGTAAACAATGTAAGGGCTTGGACGAGATCAAGGCAAAGCGGAGGAATCGAATGTACTTAGCGTGCCAAGGCCCTTTAGGCTTAGTGCCTCCGGGCGAAATAAATTCCATCCATCAAACGCGTGACGCGTCTTCCAGTGAAGGCACATACGACAACCCCTCAGCTGAAGTCACAAAATGAAACCGAAGCGAAGAAGAGCGCCAACAAGCCCCATTGACCTTGCACATTGCAAGACTGATGAACAATTCATTGCCGATTACCTTCAACCAGGGTGGGTCTCACTTTCCTTTAGAAATTCCGAATCAATCGGGAGAAAATGGAGGGTGGCTACCAAAGGAAAGAGTAACAAAGTAGA